CACACACACACACACTCACACACACACACACACACACACACTCACACACACACACACACGTCAGATATTCAGCTCTGCAGCTCCTCAGATGTTTAGAAACTGTATTTTCAGGAGTATTGAGTGTCGAACGATCAGAACTTCTTGCTTTTTAACCCTTTCTGGTTAATTTGAGAAAGCTCTTCAGTTATTGGCCAAATGGTGGATGATGTTTGAAGTCATTGCCAACAGATTCAATTCAGATTCACTTTACCGAATTCACGTTTCTCATGATCTTAACAACTAGGAGTGAGTTTTGGAGCAAACAGTGATGGAAACGTGCTCATGATGCATGTTCAGTAGTGTTTATAAGCAAATACCAGCGAGTTTTTGGTTCCAGATGTTTTTTTCCCATTCATTTTTCCCATAGGGATTTGTAAAAAGTCTCTGTTGAACCAAACCAACCAGCTACGAGGAGAATCACAACATTACACACTTTTAATGTTAAGCAAAAAAAATCATTTGAAAATCAGACAAGAAAGAAAGAACTACAATCCCATGAGGCATTGCGAATAACAATCGAATTAAAAATGATGGTGAAATATAAAACTATTTAAAGTTGTTGATTAGAAGCTATATATTTTAGGTTTACTGAAAAATATACAGAAATATTTAAGTATTTTGAGAGCAACTGCATCACGACGTCATTCGCCGCGTTTCGCTGAGTGGGCGGAGCTAATGACGTCTTTCGACGGCTCTCTGATTGGTGGAATTTCCTGCATTGCATCATGGGTGATGTAGTTTTTCACCACGAATTAAACATGATTATTAAAAAAAAAACGAGTTGAAATAAAGCGAACTTGTGATTTAAACAAAAGCAAATATCATCAGATAACAAACTCTGAGCTCACAGCAGATCTGTTTTTATTGTTTTAAAAGTTATCGTTAAAATTCAGTTTCCCTGTGGAGAAAATGATTGGAGTTATTTCATAGCTAAAGTCGGCATGGGATGGAAAGTCACAGAAATGCATGTTATAGATTTTATTGTAAGTAAATCATCCGTGCATATGTTTTATTTTAAAACATGTTTCGACCTCGTAATGTTTAACCAAAATGTTAAAACTACGCAGGACTTTTTAAAGTGCCACGCCCACATCTCAACATCCAATCAACAAACGACGCATAGAGCCAAGTCCCGCCCTACATTTTTTTCCCCGATAATCGGTTTAGCTCAAATCTGTTGTTTCATCACTTTAAAGATCGAGTCGGTGTCTAAACCTTTGATTGGTAGCTTTACCAGCGTACTATATATATTCCTGACTTGGTACTTCAAAAATAGTGTCAAAAAAGATTACCATGGTAAAATGTCTAAACTTAGCGTATGGTACTATTTAAAATGCACGTTAAATGATATTCAAATGTGCTTAAAAGAATATGACGCTACCTTTAGTAAGTGAGTTTGATGTGTGACGTCACTTCGCGACGGAGAAAAACGCGATCGGTTTTTCGCGACAAATTGTACAGTTATATTTGGTCATTATTTGAAATACAATTCGGATTTTTATTTTATTTTATTTTTTTGTTTCCACAAGCCATTTGCAGATGTCTCCTCTGTAAAAAAATAAATAAAAATAATATAGAAGAGCTTAAACTCAATTACTAAAGTATAAGAGTGTCCTGTTGCCATAAACAACGTAAAAACACGGATTTATGAAATGAGTAACAGGTGTGTGTCAGTATTGTTCATGACCAAAGCCAACAAACGGTTTTGATGACTGTCCAGCAGAGGGCGCCATTGATATTAAAACAGTTATTGATGAGCTGCGGAATTATTTAAATGATCATTTATTAATATGATTAACTGATGTCAGATCCTCTAAATGCACAATATTTCACACCAGTGCCAAGCGATACACCTAACAACGCATTTCACAGAAAGCCAATATCGAAAAACAATTTTCTATTTTTTTTTATGGTTTAATTATTGTAATATTTGTATGTTTTTGGTGCATCCACATTTTATTCTTAATGTCTATTAGATGTTTTCCGTTCATGGAAGTGTATACTAGCTGTGCATTAATTGAAATGTGATAAATGCTTATCAATATGTGGTGCAAGCACTCATAATGCCCTGTTTTATGTCATTTTATGAATAGAGAATTATGCCAATGACTAGATTTGTTGATAATAAAAACATTAAACATTGCAATTTTCACGTCGTTTTTTTACAGTCTTATTTAAAATAAATTTGTGACATTAACAACAAAACGTACTACTGTTGTGAGTTCGGGGCTAGTTTTTGCAGCCGCTCGTTGGTCCTCTCGCCTGTCAATCAAAGAGCCTGTCCTGGAGGAGAATAGAAATGCTGTTATTGAGGCACATACACAAGCACCACAATCATCCTCTGAGTGTTCTGAAGGCTGTTTCACTCAGATTATTGTCATTATATGTAGTGTGAGACTAGAAAATAAAATAATCAGTGTGTTATCGTCCAAAACACTAATTAGTGCACAAAGAAACAGTCAGCTGAATAGCATACAATAGTAATCTTTAAAGCCATTAGATGTTGTAGCTATGAAACCAGTTAACGACAATATGTTCTCTGAACGTTGTTTTGAACGTTGATGGAACATTCCATTTGAGAATTTAGCAAACGTTACAGGAACGTTACTTTTGAACATTCTGTGAAGCAAGTTGTAACATTTAAAAAACGTTAGACGAACATCCAAATGAAACATTTCAGGAAAAGTGTTCTGTAAACAATGAGAAACAAAGATTTGAGAACGATATGAAATTTAAAAATGTTACTAATATAAATAATTTAGAGCAATTTAGTGTGAACATTTTTTTTAAATATTGAAAATAAGACATTTATGCATATTATTTTTGCCTTTTTTTTATTATTGTTCTGACAGATATTGTTCAATGTTTTTATTTTATTTCTAAATATTAAAATGAAAATAAATGCAGTCTTCAGTATGTCAGCTCTATTCATTATTATTAACTAATTAACTAAATTATTAATTAATTTAATGTTTTGTCATTTTTATTAGTTTTTAAGTATCTATCGTTTTTATTTTATTTCAGTTTTATTTATTTTAGCAATCAAGATAAACCAAATAAAAATCTAAAAAGTTTACGGTTTTTATATTTTAAATTACAAAATGTTTTTTTTAATGGTTTTTATTTTGGTTAACTATAATAATGTAATAACCCTGCTATTGACAGTTTTCAAATAGTAAACTATACATTATTGTACATTATTATATTTGTTTCTGCTACTATATTCATCAGACAAAACGGAGCGCTTTAAAACAATGTTTTATTTTTATTATTATGATTTTATTTATAAGGCATTTTTGCTCTTTAAATTCAGTACAGAGGTGTAGTGTTCGAGTACAATAACTGCTGAATCAAGGCCTCAGATTTAGATACTTAGATTATATTTCTCACATAAATCACTATGATATAAAAAATTACCAAAATGATCAATTCAATGCGCTATTGCCCATATTCCTTTCTCCATCCAATTCTCTAGAAACAACGATTTTCGATTATTAAGAATGCATCTGTTGAGTAACACTGTTTAAATACGACATTCCTGTAACGTTTTGAGACATTCGCGCTGCGTATGCTGTAACGCTTCCGGTTCGGTCGCGCTCGCGTGACGCACGCACAGACGCGTTTCCAGAGACGCTCACCGATCACGGGAGAGACTGCGCAGTCAGGACGAACAGCAGCGAGACACATTCACCTCAACTGTGAGTACAATCCCTGATTTACTGTAGTATGTGTGAGTCTGAAGCACCGAGCGCCGGAGACGGAAGGCGTGAAAGACGCGCCGGTAGATGATAGCGGCGAGAGACGCGTCAGTCTGCGGAGGCCGCTTCAGGCGCGCGTGTTGTTCAGCTGGGATTCGCGTCCAGCGACAGAAGGGTTGTTTTGAGCAGGTTCGGCCTCTGTCCCGGTGTGCGGAGATATCACCGGGCCTCCGGTGCGCTTCAGATGATAGATTATTCTTATATGTGGCAATACCACGATTTAGCTACTGCGCATTATATTATTTAACTTCATATCTTTATACCTAAAATTATTTCCAGAAATTAGACAAATTATTGTTAAGGTCAAGGTGTTATGTTATGATATTAGTGATTAGATATTATAATTTCCATTTTCCAGTTAAGGTGACTCAAATGGGAAATGTTTGTGTATTGTTTAAACTGTACACTCACACACACACACACACACACACACTCACTCTCACACACACACACACATTCACTCTCTCTCACACACACACACACACACACACACTCACTCTCACACACACACACATTCACTCTCTCTCTCACACACACACACACACACACACACACAGTGTTCCTGTAGTGTGTGGTTCCAGTGATGTGTGTGTTTTTTCCAGAGCTCAGCATTAGTGAGCCTCCATTCAGAGCCGCAGGATCAGCTGATGCACATCTCTGTGTAATAAATGCAACAGCACTGTAAGGTCCACCTTTGACTGGCAGTAGCAAGTAGCGAATCAGGATTCACGACTGTGATGTAAACTAAAGCCTATTGGCTGTTTAAAATAATATGTCCCACCCACCTGAATGTGTTGTTTCAATAGAAAACAAAACAAAAAACTAGGTTTTTATTATAGCTAAAACTATTCAAACATTTTTTTTTTTGTCAATTTAAATTAATTTTAAATAAAATATAACATTACTGAAGGGAAATTGTATTGTAGACAACATTTTGGTAGAACCCCGACCTGAGTATGTATCAGTCTTTGCATTCATCTTTCTCTGCTCAAGTCCATACTGCCAAATCTTCATACTTCCACAACAAGATCAACAGCGCTCCAGACACACGTAATCTCTTCAAAATTTTCCATTCTCTCCTCTGTCCCCCTCCACCACCTCCTATCACTTCTATAACAGCTGATGATTTCGCCACATTCTTCACAGACAAAACCAGAACAATCAGTAGTCAATTCTCAGCCCCACACACACAGGACTTCAAACCAACCACACC